GTGAGACCTGCACCGGGTGTTAACGTGTGAGAACAAGCTTTGTAGGCTTACTCAGCCCCCATGGGCATTTGGCAAGCCCCAGGTACTATCACACAATTAACAGTTTCTGTTGGAGAGCCCAGAAATTAAGCAAGAAGGACGCTGCAGGTTAAGTTTCACAGACTGCCATCTGTCTCCCCCGGTCCTTCCCACTGACAGTCTCAGATCATATTTATTTTTCCAAGTATTAAAATGACAGCAGAAGACTTCTATAACAGAAAACTACCACTTTAAGACCAGAAAAAAAACTCCCAAATACCATGCTTTATCACAAGAATAATGATATGTGAAAGTGTGTGTGTCTTCCTCACCCATTTCACATACAGAAATTTAGCACCACGTCAATTCTGCCAGTGTAACAAAAGCACTTAAACTTTTCAGCTCTCACCAATACCTTTAGGTTTTATAAGAGGCTGTTCTGACCAAAAATAAGTACTATTTTATCAATTTGTTTAAAAAAAAAAAAAAAAACAAACCACAAAACCAACTAGACTTACTAAAAAAGTATTTGCTGAAGCATTGCTGAAATATTTGCAGTAGCCAAAAACGTCAGATTTTATAGACCTTTAATTTTTTTCAGGATATATTTCCTAGTTGAGATCTTCTTCCACTCAGGAATTACCTGCAGTACTGCAGGTACATGCCAAAAACCCCCAATTCCCACAAAGGAAAACAAACAAACAAACAAACCAAATCAAAACACAAACCCCAGAGAAAGCTTCCTTGTCACACACACAAATTCCTCCTTTCCTAAATGGGAAATAAAAAAACTGGGGTCAAAATCATGTGAGATTCAGCTTTCAGCCCAGGCAGATGGAAACATCTGCTGGGGAACCTGCACACTCACCACTCCATCCAAACTGCACGGTTTGCCACTAAAACTCAACCAGGCTCTGAAGAAACCTAGGAGCGACGTGTTGGGAGCTGCAAAATACAGCTATAACCCAAAATACAGCTATAAACCCCAAATAAACCAAGGAATAAGGTTATAATTAAGATAGCAAGCTACAGGACAATACATTTCTATCTCAGGACTAACCCTGTAGCCTGGTTGACAGAAGCCACTGAGAGCAGCACTCCCCATATGTCAATTGGTGGAATAATGAGACAGATCTGAACAGATCTGAACTAGTAAAAAAAAAAAAAATCTCTTCAGCCTCTTTACAGCAGGTTAATCTCTGGTTAGAGTTTCAGCTTAGTTCATAGAATCATTAAGGTTGGAAAAGACCTCCAAGATCATCAAGTCCAAACTAAGACCCACCTACAAATTCGTCACCTGACACAGTTTTATCTTTGACTACTTCTATTCCTATGTATCTTGCCCTCAGATGAGCAAGGAAAAAGAGAAGCATCTTCTGCCATAAATAACCTGGAAGAAGCAAAAAATGACCCCATTCCACATCCCCAAGGCTTAGGGGAGTAAAACTGAAGCTGCTGAAGTGTTGCCCTACTCTCTTCGGAAAGAGGTCTTCAAACGTCAGGAGTTATTTTGGCCCAGGAAGGGCTTCAAGATCTCTCAGGTTTTTCTCTGTTACCCTAAAACATGTATCTCATTGCATAAGGCAGCAAAGTATAGCTATGTGCCACGGAAAAAAAAAAAATGCAGCAGAAAAACTGGGAAAGTTCTGAAAAGGAAAAGAATAAAAATGATGACAAGAGAAGACAGAGTTCTCTCTGCACAAGAGAACAGTCAGAAGTTGTGTCAAGGCATGGCTTTCAACTGAAATGTGGTTTTCGTGAAAGCACAAACTGTATGACTCACATTTGTGTCTGAATGAGACCTGCTCTGCAAAATTATTAGTCCTTAATAAAAGGCAGTGCACGAGTACACTTAGATACATAAAAATACACACAAATATGTGTGTGTATGACAGCACAGGTACAGGCTTTAAAAAGCACATTGATGCTTCTCCTGCAAAATCTCCACTGCCAACTGGAATTATTTTTTCTCTTAAGAGCTATTTATAATCTTAGCTCTCTTTCAGAACACAGAAGAAAACAACAACAAAAAACCCCACCTGTGTTTTACAGGGACTAATAAAAAACGTGAAGCACTGGAGCTTCACAGCATCCCTGCCATGCTTACCCTGCCAGGCTCATTAGGGAACTCTGCATCTTTCCATTACATCAGAAAGCTGCAGCATCTTACAGTCTTAAGGTAAGCAAGCTTAGTCCACAGATCCATCATCAGCTGCAGCCCAGCTTAGGTGCCAGGCATGCTCTCAAAACTGTCCTTACCTCCCAAAAAGGTTGTGGCAGATCTCTTAAGTTTTCTTAACAAGACTCACTCATTTTTTTCAACAAGATAGGAATTACAGTGCTGATGTAACAAGGCATCACAGCAGCATCACTGCATGGTAACTTTTTTATCCCCAACTATTATTTTCCCAAAACATGAAGCATACAAACAACGTCAATCGAGAGATTAGGATGTTGGAAACGCGAGGGGTTGGAAATGTGCACGTGATTGGAATTGCAGCACGAGCTGGCATTCCATCCCCATCCAAAAGTCTTCTCAGTCAAATGCTTAATTTAGGATTTTGAGTTGCCTTTTAGAAAGAACCAATGTACTCGTGCCTCCATTCTTCTCTACATCTAAACACAAACGCTTTTCCCAACTTTTGCTACAACAACCTGGGGCAAAAATCAAAAGGAGAGATTAATCACCTTCCTGATGTATTTATTTATAGGTGAAAATAATGTAATCAAAGAGAACAAACACTACTCCTGCCTCAGAACAATACACACAACATTTCAATTAACAAAGTACATACACAAATTAGAAAGGAACTCGATCCTGTGTTTCTTCCTTTCTCCTTCTCCCTTCACACTTCCTCTCAGATGATGGGAACATCCTCCCAAGTACTGACCTTCTCTAACTTGTGGCATATTCAGCACAAGAAATCTTAGATTGCTATTCCTTCCCCTCCAAACGAGCAAGTTCTGAGCATTGATGATGGAGGGGCCCACTAAAAGCTTCACATGCAAACCTTGAGCGATGGCAGGACATGAGCACGTAACATATCGAGTGTTGAAGAACTACTTGCAAACGCTTTGAAACCTTTGAGGAAAGGCAGACAAGGACTCACATCTAAGCTCATAAACTAAGTCTTCAAAGTGGTCAAGAAATTTGAGCTCACATAACCACTCGATCCAATCCCTTAATTAATCCAGCAGCTACACGGCAATACACTTCCCATATCAGACCCCCTGCACTAGGACAGTTTGCAATCACTCCAGGTGTTTCACTGGTTTAACACACTGCAGATCTGTTAGAAAAACGCTCCATCAGTTGAACAAACACACAGTCAGGAGCAGGCAGCCCCAGGAATCCCGGCTGACACGGAGTGAGAGCCGCCGTGCCCAGCGCGGCCGGGCCGTGAGAACACACGGTGCCAGCTGCACACACAGTAGAGCAGCTCACGGGAATTCCTCTTGCACAAGCACCGGGGCATGCCAGGCACTGCTTCCGACAGCGCCGGCGGGCGTGCAGCGACAGGTTACACTTGGACGACAAAGTTACCCATCCCACACCTTTCCCCTGCCACAGCACCAGGGGGGTTCCACGCTGGAGGCGAGGACAGCGGACCTGTGAATCATTTCCAAAGCCGTGGCCTGAGTCAGGCAGTGTATCGAGGTGAAATAACCCCAGTTTTGCCCACCTGAACGTGCTGATTAGAATACTGCAACATCTGAGGGGAGGACTGAACGCTCCCACATTAACAGGTTTTTAGCTCTTCTGCTCCAACGTGCAGCTTGACAACTTAGCTGAGAAAATTCAGTATCTGCTCCCAAAAAATGCTGCCTCAGTCACCTCTGCCCTGCTCTCCTGCACCAAGTGCCTACACCTGCTTGTCTGCAGGACAAGCCATGCCAGGGGACCAATAGGCAAAAAAAAAAATCCTCCCCAGCCCTTCAACTCCCACTGCAGTCACAGAAGGGTTGTGACCTCTGGTGAGCAGCCTGGTAGGTGGAAGGGAAGGAACGCTTCCTTTTGGGGGCTGAAAACCCACAGCATGGTCACAGTGACCCTTTGCCTGGCATCGTATCTTGCCAACTCTGCTCACTAATGCACAGGGCTGGAGCCCCTCCGCTCTGCAGACAGGCTGGGAGAGCTGGGGGTGTTCAGCCTGGAGTAGGAAAGCTCCAGGGAGACCTTAAAGATCCTTCCCGTGTCTAAAGGGGTTCCGAGAGAGCTGGAGAGAGATGTGGGACAAGGGCCTGCAGTGACAGGACAAGGTGGAAAGGCTTCCCACTGACAGAGGAGAGAGCTGGATTGGATATAGGGAAGAAATTCTTCCCTGTAGGGTGGGCAGGCCCTGGCACAGGTTGCTCAGAGAAGCTGTGGCTGCTCCATCCCTGGAAGTGTTCAAGGTCAGGCTGGACAGGGCTTGGAGCAACCTGAGCTAGTGGAAGGTGCCCCTGCCCATGGCAGGGGGCTGGAACACCGTGAGCCTTAAAGGTTCCAACCCAAAAAACCACTCCGCGATTTCTGCGGCTCTACAGAAACGGAGCGAACATCACCGTATTCCTGCCTGTATACACAGGGAAGCACGAAACCGTTGGAAATTAACGAGAGACCCAAAGACATTAAAAACAAGCAAGCAAACAAACAAACCCTAATAAAACCACCAAAAACCAACTGCCTTTGCGGCGCATCCAGCTGCGCTCGGAGCGGCCGTGTGGAAGCGCTCCCGAGGGAGCCTCCGCCGCCGCTCCCAGCGCAGGGCCCGCGGTGCCGGCGCAGGCCCGGCCCCGGTGTGAGGGCTCCGGTGGGAGCCGAGCCCGGTGCCCGCGGACCCCGCCGAGGGGCGAACCCGCCGCCACCGCCGCCGCTCCCGGCTGCCCCTCAGCAGCACCGCGCCCGCACCGCCCCGGCCGGGCGACCGGAGCCGCCCGCGGCCTCCCCCTCCCCGGCCGGGCCGGGCCCCGCAGCCCGGGCGAGCCGCGGCCCCGCTCACCCTCGGACAGCTCCAGCTCCAGCTCCGCCAGGCTCTCGCGCACCTCGGGCGGCAGCGGCACGGCCTCCAGCGCGCAGCCCCCGCGCTCCGCCGCCATGGCGAGGGCGGGCGGGCGGCCGAGCAGCGAGCGGACCCCGCCGGAGCCGCCGCCCAGCGCTGCCGCAGGTGGGGCCGGGGGCGGGCCGGGCCGGCCCGGCGGGGAGGGAAAAGGCAGGGAGGGAGGGAGAGAGGGAGGGACCGCCGGCCCCACCGCCCCGCGCAGCCGCTGCCGCAGCCCGGGACGCGCCGCCCGCGCCAGGGCCGGGCCGGGAGGGGCCGCAGCAGGACCCGCCCGCTGCCTCAGCCGGCCGCTGCCTCTCTCTTTCAACCTTCCCTGTTTCTTTCCTCTCCTTCCCCCTTCTTTCCTTTCCCTTTCCTGTTTCCCTTCCTCTTTCCCTTTCCTTCGCCCCTTGCTCTGCTGAGATCACTTCCCCCAAGTACCGAAACTGCCCTTTCTCCCTCCCCACTTCTTTCCTCCCAGCAGAGTGACCGAGCGTGAGGACCTGGCTCCCACCCTACATCCCCACCCCCGGCGTGTCCCAGGATAGGGTGTGGAGGTATTCATGGCACAGAATTCCAGTGTGAGAGCCTACACCTTAAGTGGTGCCTGGGACGCTATCAAATAAATAAATAAAGATAGATAAATGTATCTGTGTCTTACCTAAAACCAACCACCTCTCCAAGGGCGCTTAGAGACCAGGAGGAAACGTTGGGTTTGGAGCCCGTGTCAAGGCACCATGGGCATGATGAACTTCAGGTGTTCCTGCAGCCTCCCAAAGACCCAGGCAAAAGCAAATCCAGGACATTGCCGGTGGTCCTGACTGCCAGGACAGCTCTGCCTGTAAGAATAACCTTCCTGGAACCAGAAAACAGGGAAGAAATCTGGGGAGAAGTTTTCTGCTAACAGCTGCTTCTGTCCAAAACAGCTGCCCTATTTGGGGGTGATGGGGTTCACCCTGGTATCACATATGGGGGATTCCAAATCCTCTGCTCAAGTTAGCGAGGTCAGCACATCACAGGAGAGCGTGCCCTGCGTGACTGCCCTTCCAAGGGCACAGACAGACCACACCAGCCCTTGGAAAACCACACTCCCTAAAACTTCACCCCTGATACCGGGCAGAAATGTTTCTGCTTCCATTGTCCCTCAGAAAGCTGTCTGTGGGTAGCAGGGAGCTGATGGGAATGCAGCCACAGGTAACATATTACCTATAGTTCTGAAAGACTGCCCTGCATGTCTTGGGACATAAAAAAAACCCCTGCAGATTGATTAAAAAATGTGCCAGTGCAAAGCCAAATTCCCTTGAAACAGAACTGATCCCTATGATGTGCCAGCTTCCCTTTAAAAGGTAATCTTTAATGTCCACCCAGAAGTGCCAGCTTTTAAAACCAGTCATTCATTTGGATTTGCAGTGCCAGTACTGACTGGCTCACTCTGAGCACAGGCCCTCTGGTCTCACAGCCTTGCTTAGAGTCAACACTGAACATTCAGGTGTGAGGATGCAATTACAGATTTGATTTAGTGCCAGTTCTGAACTCTGCTCTAGAAATGCACATTGTTCTCAGCAGAGGACAAACTCCTGCTGTGCTAAGCGAAAAGGGCACCAGCCCCATTCAATGTGCAGATTGACAACGCTGCATGGAGTGCTAACACTCCTAGAATATGATTTTTAAAAGAAATAGGATGCACTGAGCCAGCAAACTGTCAGTTCAAACTGGTTTAGAACTCAGGACCAAAAGGACACGCTGGGAAAGGTCTTACCGACATCCAGAGGCAGTAAATCACCAGATTCCTGAAGAGCTGTTGTATCCAGCCCAGCAGTCCACCAAGCTGGGCCCCATGGAATCCAGGCTCTTCCTTCACTTAGGGCTGATCCTGGAGCTCCACAGCATTTCCTCCACATAGCACAGACACTCTTGGCACTGCTCACTGGCCACAAACTGCTCCTCAGCCCTGCCCTGCCCCTTGACCAGCCTCATGTCCCACCCCACTTCTTGGAGGCCAGGCTCCTTTACCTTCAATCTTCTATCTCTATCATCTTTTTTTTCCAAAGAACTAAATGGTGTTCTACCTGGCAGATACAGAAGGGCTTACCAGGACCAATACTGGATAAAAGCAGTTTAAATAAGCAATAAAACAATCTCAGACAAACACCAATATATAACTGTCAATACCCTGTAGAGAAAAATCTTGCAGTAGGCTGAGGCAGAATAATCTGTCTCCAGAAGAGATTTTTCTGAGGCTCCAAAGTTGAACACCACATCTGCTTCAAAGGCAGAGATTTCATGTTTCCATGGGGTTTAAAAATACTTCTGGTGTTATAATTCTGCCTATACTTTTTCTGAAGAAATACAGAAGCATAACAGAAGGAAGTCTTATTCAGCATGATATTTGGAATCTCTCTCATTTTTGCACTGAGACATTGTGACTAGAAATGGATTTACCACCAGAATGCCTCTTTCCTCTCCTCTGAACAGTAACTTCAGACATTTGGAACTGTCCCCCTGAAGGTACCTGCAGCACAAGATACTGGACAGAGAGTAGGGTTTGCAAGCAGGAGTTTCATTTACATCAGAGGTAGATAAAGTTCAGAGGTTCTGTTTGGTAGTTTTTGCCAAAAATGCGAAGAGTTAAATAAAAGTTATGAGCCTTTTGAACTAGAGAAAAGAAGCTAAAAGTGTCCAGAATAAATAGGACAGAGGGAGGGAGAACTTATTTACTGTAAAACCAGAAGAGCAAACCCTAAATTCACAGATAGCTACAGGTACCTTTGATATTAGTGACAGTATTTGAGCTGTACCTTTAGTCAGAATGATCCCACAGAAATATTAAAGCCCAAACAGTTTTAGGAACAGCAAAATGAGTAAACAGGTAAGGTGAAAACAAATAACCATACAATGTAAGAATTCACTAATGAAATGCCATTTTAATAATTTTTTTACAAGGAATCCACCTATACACTATAGAAAAATAAACACCACAGAGACTTTTTGCAGCTTACAATACAGTGATGCAGTCACACTTCAGCTGTTAACTTAGAGTAATTTCATGTGAGAATGTAAAATATCGTTCTTAGAGAAAAGGAAGTCCCTCTTAAAGTACTAAAATATAATAAAAAGAGTCATATAAAAATCTGCTGTAAAAGCACTGCCCTTTATTCAGTTGCACAGGAGATTGATTGCAAGTGCCTCTGTTCAATAAGGACCAGCTCAGGAGGAAGCAGCAACTCACAGGACAGATTTCATAAGCATTCCCATCACTTTTTCATGCTTCTCTGACGAGGTGAGCCTGGCACTTGTCCTAAATTTACAAAAAAAACCAAACAAATGAACATTAGAAAACTGCTTGTGTTATGAAGCAACAGGGTGCAGTTTGCAGCATGGAATTTCCTGAATGCGCTTCACACGAGATCCACCGAAAGCAATTCCCATTCTCACGAGCCACTTAGGAGCAATCCAAAACAGGATCTGAAAGCTGCCAAAGCAAACCTTTACACACTGGGCCCAGTGCTCCATCACAGGCCTGCTTTATCCACACGGACAGCTCGACTTGGGCACTCCTGTGGTGATTCTCTTGCTGCTGAGGAGATGTCCTAAAGTTCATTAGAAACTGGGAAATCATCTGGCTCACAGAACTGTTCTAAAGGTTGCAAGGTCACTCTGTAATGCTTGACATCACTGTCCTGGTAACATGGAGATGAAAGAAATTACATGCACTTAACATAGAATTTCTGTTCATGCTGTCCCAGTTGTGGAATACTTTATTCCACACTTAGAATGAAGCAAAATATCTTACTTCCATAAAGGCTGTCTGGTTTCAAATCTAAAATTTATTTATCTGTATTTGCCATACAGCTGCAGAATTTGTGGGGAAAAAAAAAAAAACACAATCGCCTCAAAGTCGTAAGAATTGAGTTTCTAGGTAAAGTCCTGCTGAGAATAAGGCAAAGTTCCCAAACTGTTCCCACGAACCAGGTTGCCCAGAGAGGCTGTGGACTCCCCATGCCTGGAAGTGTTCAAGGCCAGGTTGGACAGGGCTTGGAGCAACCTGGGATAGTGGGAGGTGTCCCTGCCCATGGCAGGTGGGGGCAGAATGGGATGATTTTAAGGTCTCTTCCAACCCAAACACTTCTATATGGATGTGTCACTGCAGCTGTTGACTTCAGAGATATACCTGGGCAAAGGCTGAAGGGCAATTACAGGAGGCAAGTTCACCTGGGAAGCAGCAGGTGATGATGGTTATGCTTGGGCAAAGAAAAATGCAAGGTGTGTATGTGCAGTGTGGGAAGGAATCCAAACACGCTCCACATCCCCTCAGTGCCACAGCTAAATACTGACCTGGTCATCTTTCCAGCTTTTGGCTGCAGTCCAGAAATGAGGTGGAAGTGTTTCAAACAGCAAAGCTAAGGTCTTTAAAGCTACAATCCTTTGTGTGCCCTGTGAGCAAGCTTAGAACTGGATGGCTGGATTTACCAGCCTCCGGATCTTTTTTTTTTTTAAATCTATTATGGAACATAAGGAAGTGATAAATGAGGGAAGCATTACAGTCTGTGCTGCAGAGAAAACCCTGCTCAGCCATTACAACAGCTCTTTGATTCTAAAGCAAATTAACCCTACACAAAGCTTCATTTAGACTGCAACACTCGGAAACAGGAGTGGGGACAGAAACCACATTAAATTATTCAGCCTTACCTCTGAAGAATTTCATTATGAACTTTTTTTTGAGAAATGCCACACGTGGAGTAGTCTGAGATATGATTCACAAAAAGGTTTCCTTTCAGAAACTTACTTACTTGTCCCCCTACCGATAATTATAATTATCCATTAAAACGATGCTCTTTACGGGCAATATGCACAAAGAACCTTCCAAAAATCAACCCAGACTTCTGGCAGCTGTGGGGACAAGAAGGTGGTTCTTACCTGGCTGCATCCCCCCCAGTCTTTGCTGGATAACCTCCAAGCGATGGATGTACTCTGTGAGTGATCGTTCGGGATCGGGAGGTGGCACGAGTGACTTTTCCGAAGCTGAACTGGGGGACGGGTGCGATCTTAAAAAAGGAAAACAAGTCGTTTTCTCCTTCTCACGCTACAGTCTCAAATATATA